GCTTCCCTGGTCTTGATGATCATGTCGTCGATGTAGGCCTCCATGTTATAGACAATGACCCACTTGAATACCTTACCTACCATTCTCGTATAAGTGGCCCTAGAGTTCTTCAACCCAAGGCCATCACCTGGTAACAAAAAAATTCCTTCCAAGCTCATGAAGGCAGTTTTTCGGCATCCTCTTCGTGCATAAAATTTTTGTGATACCCTCGGAAGGCATCTAAAAAGCTCGTTAATTTACACCCAGTCATCTCGTAAACTAGTTGATCTATATTGGGTAGCGAGAACGAGTCCATGGAGCACTCTTATTGAGGTCAGTGTAACTGACGCACATCCTCCAGGTCAGGGTTTGTGTTGAAAGACCACATTTGCGATTCACTCGGGTATAACACCTCCCAGATATAGCCGATATCTAACAATGTATTGACTTCCTTCTAGACAAATTCCCTCCTCTCTATGGATAGGTATTTCTTCCTTTGTTGGATCGGCTTCACCTTAGGGTCAATCACAAACATGTGGGTGATGACTTCCATATTGATGCCAAGTATGTTCTAGGGACCCCACTACCTTAAAGCTATGAATGACCTCGAAGTTTTGAGTTCTAAGGTCGGTCGGGAGATCTGTGCCGATCTTCACCAGCATATTATTATGTGTACTCTTGATCCAAAATGATATCCAAATCTTGCAAAGGCCTCTACATTATTATGTGTACTTAGAGATCTCTTTTCTCAATTTGTCTACACGCATTTAGGTAGCAACTCTATCTTATCTTCTAATTCCTTCGAGCTATGTCAACTTCACTCGGGGTTAGGAACTTCAAACGCAGGTACTCCATTGAGATTATGCACGGTTCTCTAATGCAGGTCAGCCTAGAACAATGTTATGGGCGCAACTGATTTTGATGACCACAAATTCAACATCCATCTTCTTGACATGTGGCTCGATGGCAACCTCTACCAGCAATAGAATCGCCCCCTCCATCACAATAGAGTCTCATGTGAAGCTGGATAACGGAGTTTTCACCTGGTTGAGTTTGGCAAATGTGTAGTAGTACATGACATTGGCAGTGTTTCTCATGCCATGAGCAACCGATATTTGATGGCGTCATTTATCTCCAAAATGCATTCTTATGGGGCAATAGTCCATCAATGAGCTCACCATTTATGAAAGGGATAAGACCGCTTATTGTGTTGGGGTCAAATAACTTTCCCTACATAGAGGCTCCTTAACCATTTCTTCATCTCTATCAGGGTGTCCCCCCCACCCCCCCCTAATCCATTGAATATGACATGAATAGCTTGTTGAATGATTTGTGTATTACATGAACAGTGTAGTAATGAGACCAATAACATGTCTTTACTAAGACAAGGAGTGTGTTATTTAAATTAATCATTCTAACTAATTCCCCGCAAATAGGGCACTCCAACCAACACACTGGTCGACCCATGAGGGTTGAGGCCGTTCGTGTTCCTTGCCAAGCTCGAGGCTATGTAGCTAGCTCCCGCTCCTTCCGGCGTCCCTTCTGCTTGGGCTTTACCAAATATCTTAATCATTTAGTTGAGATATGATTCAAACAATTACATAACTAGCTTTACACTGAGCATGCATCCACTGTGTATGTGAATATGAGTGAGTTCTACTGATTCCATATCAACATCCCTTATTCAATTATTCATCTAATACAATACACTATAACTCATTGTATGTAGATATTTTTAAGAGCAACACCAACAGTAAAACTCATTTTGAGTTGTTTTGTTAGTGCCAAGATGGAATTATGGAGAGAGAAAGAAAGAAAAAATAGGAGAAAAAACCCCAGTCAAATGTGACGAGCCTAGTGGACACGTGAACTACACGCGACCATGGGGATGAAACACTTTATTGATTTTCTTTGATCTCAAAAATAGTGCAAACACCCCTCCCCCTCCCCCCTCCCCCCTTCCCCCTCCCCCATGCCTTTCCTAGTTTTTTTTTTTTCCTCTTTCTCTTTCTTGACTTCTCTCCTCCACATCAAATGATTTCTCTCAAAAATTGAAGAAAAACAAAATCATCCATGAAAATGTCCTAAGGCTTACTCATTACAGCGCAACTATATATCTTTTATTATTTTTTTACTTATTATAATTTATATTCTCATAATTAAAATTAATAATCTTCTATATAATAAAGCCATAGAACTTTGGCCAATCAGATTATGGTATTTGTCCACCTAGCAAAAGTGACTCCGTTTTGGAAGTTTCTTTTTAAGGTAATTTCTTATTGTTGTTATTATTATTTTATTTTATATATTTTTCTTTACTTATTATTTTTATTATAATTTTTTCATAATATAAATGGGGTATTATATTAGTGTTCAATTTTTTATTTATATATTTTTCAAAATTATTTTATATAAATGGGGTATTATATTAGTGTTCTGCAAAAATTATTTTCGAAATTTAGTATTCAATTTTTTATTTTATATATTCTTGTTTGCAGGTAATGCCAACTTATTATTAGGTAGCAGTTTCATATCTCATCTGACATCTAAAAATACCTCCATTCATAATAAAATGCGTGTACTTGGATACGTGGGTAGTTCACTTTCTACGCCAAGTAGCACAGTGACTAATGGTACAAATAGAAATGTTAATGTATTCCTACTTTTATTTTTTTGTAATATTTATTTAAGTTTATATATCTATCCTATTCTTAGATATCGTATAATATGTAAGAATACAAATGTGTACTCAACCAAATTCTCTACACCTTATTTTATCAATATTAATAATTTTAAATCCTAAGATTATAATTTGGTCAAATTCAATTTGTCAACTACTATTCATTTAAATATTGCTTTAAATATTGCTTACTGATATTGATTTTTTTTTAATAGTATCAGGTACTAATGTTCAATCAAGTATATTCCAACAAACTAATTTCTACAGGAGCACGATTTATTCTAATTTTATTAGACAACCATTTGCTAATTTGACAAACGGTAAATTATTATCTTACAACGTATGTATTCATTATTTAATTTTAAAATTGTTGATATATTTGATAGTTTTAATCCCTTTACATTTAAATAGGTAACAGTTCTACCTCATGCACTGTGCAACCCACAAATACACAACCGAATATGGGAGTGAATCGTTTGTTGATGACTGAGTTTGAAAATAACAATACTGCTTCACCATGGACCTATGAGTTACTTACTTGATGTTCACCTCGCGGAGTCAATGGCGGTTAAGGAAGCCTTGTCCTGGGCTAAAGATTTGAATTTTGTGAAGGTTATCGTTTTCTCTGATTGCCAAACGGTTTGCAATTTCTTTAAAAGCTCTTTGCCTGACTATACTTATACGGGTTGTATAATCAACAAGTGTCGGGAGTTTCAACGAGACTTTGATTCTATGTCTCTTCAATTTATTCCTAGATCAGTGACCTTGGCTAGAGCTGCACGTTCATAATCTGGTCCCCTTAGTTATTTCAATTCTATTCCGCATTGTATTGAACATTTGATTTAATGAAATTTGGTTCCTTTGGTTTTCAAAAAAACAATACTGCTTCAACTTCAATGCCCTCAAATAATAATGGTTAGTATCAAATCTTTTTTAAAATAAATTACATTCAAATAATTGATAAATTATCATTCTAAATTTTAGAATGATTGATATACTTTTTATGTTTCATTTTAAAATGTGTAAAATAAAAAATTCTTCAGGTTCATGCATTGTTTTCCCCACCTTTAGACTAGAAAATGTAGGAGTGAATCGTTTGGTGATGCCAGAGTTTGACAATGCCACTAATGCTTCAACTTCAATGCCCTCTATTTAGAATGGTTAGTATATAAATTTATTACATTTATCTTAGAATTAATTTTACATTTTAATTTTAATTCTTTTAGGTACCTATTTGGACTTTGGTGATTAAACATATTCATGTGCGCATTGGGGTGCTTTGTTTTGGTTAAAAGAAAGAATAAACAAAATTATGGGGACTCAAAAATCAAAGTATTCGCTTTGTTGTACTTGTGGGAAGATAAAGTTGCCTCCTACTTCCACTCCACTGGCTGCACTATTTGGATTATTTTTTAATAACGACGATAAGAGTAGCCATTTATGACACTACACAAAATGTAATTTACAAAGAAATTTTCAATAATTTGTAAGATTATTGTATTTTGAATTCCATCAAGTTATTTTACTTTTAGTCACTATATATTAATCATTTTATATTTCTTAATTATACTATAACCATAACTATATAGTTGTGCATTGCACGGGTGACATATTAGTTAAATTACAATGTTCAAATGTAAATAAAATTATAAAATTAGAATTTAAGTAATATTTAATAATAGTAAATAATTACTACATTTTTTTTAGAAATTTACAGCATCATAAGTCATAACAATACATTCTAGTTTTTTGGAGTATTTTATTATAATGTAGCCAACTTAGTGAATTTTTGTTCATAAAGCTTAAGGGAATTCATAATTCTTCAATTGGAAAAGTCACTTCATGTCACTGGATCACAAGGTCTTTGACTAACTTAGTGATTAAGATTAGGAAAGACATGAAGAATAATGAGTAATAACCTCAACAAAATTTGCAAGTAAGCGCGTTGTTAATTATATGAATATGACAATATGTCGATTGTGGACGTCGGCATCGATCTCGCCGCCGACAAACAAAAACGTAATGTTGACCTCAAAAAGGCGGTTGAAATGATTCCGGTAATGTGAATTCACACTACTTAATGTTGACCTCAAACGCCCATTTTTGTAATTACAGTTTTGAAGCTGATCGAGCTTTTCTAGTGGCGTATTCGGCTTCCAAAAATTATTTTTATTCATTTGTACAGTGACAGATCAAAATGGCAGATACGACCGCCTCTTTATTTGGCGGCGCTCCTTTCTTTATGCTATTCTTTTCATTTTTACCTATTTCTGTTTTCCCATTTCATATTATTTTACCCACCCAATTGTAAGTGCCTCCTGCTATATAAGGGTCCAAGAAAACATTATTACGTACTATCACTGCCTTGTCAACTCCGTTGAATATATATATTTATATATATATATATATATATATATATGAGCGAATTGAAGGTGTATTCATTCAACGCCCATCTCTGATCGTTAATGCTATTACATGTGTATCGGAAAAGTGGCGAACCCAAGAGAGAGAACGAGGGGGGTTAGTGAAGATGATCATCATCCTCATCCTCATCCTCATGATGTTGTGACGATGAGGTTGGAATCGTTAGTTTCGCCCATGTTTTCCGGGCTTGACAGGGAACAGGAGATGTCTGTAATGGTTTCGGCATTGACGGACGTGGTGGCCGGCAATGATCGTCGCCGCCGTCCTCACCCGACCAATGACGCCGCCGGAGAAGCGGACCAGTTTCTGGAATCATCATCAGTAGATACAGTTTGCAGCTCATATCACAATTTTTCCATTGGAGGATATTCAGGTAGGCTGGTTATTCTTCATTATCCAACCAATTAATCAATTTCTTTCTCTTTTATCTTTAATTGGTTTGGTTTATTAACATAACAGGTGGGGAGTCTAGTGCAATAATAAGATCAAGTGAAGCAGAAGCTGCATCCTTTGTATATACTCCTCCTGCTAATAGCAGAGGGGGAGGAGGCGATAATAATGAGGGGGGAAGAAGATACAGAGGAGTAAGGCAGAGGCCGTGGGGGAAATGGGCGGCGGAAATCAGAGATCCATTCAGAGCGACGAGAGTGTGGTTGGGCACCTTCGACACCGCCGAGGCGGCAGCCAGAGCCTACGACGAAGCCGCCCTCAGATTCCGCGGCAGCAAAGCCAAACTCAATTTCCCAGAAAACGTTAGGCTCCTCAGATTGCCACCCAACCCCCTCCCCCTCCCCCTCCCCCTGCAAAATCCTCACATCACTACTACTACTACTTCTTCTTCTTCCTCGCCCCAACCCATTCTTCACAACCATTTTTCCGGCTTCATCAACCAGCCTCCAAGTTTTCTACAACAATTAATGTTATCATCATCATCATCTTCTTCTTCTTCGTCTTCATCTTCCATGCCTTATGCTCATTATCAGTCTCCAATGATTTACCCTCCGGTTAGTGCGGCCGAATACCCAGCTGCTAGTTCTTGGTCAGATTCTGCTTATCACCACCCTTCTTCATCTGGATAAGGATTCGGGCCCCATCCATAGTTTCTGTCACCCTTTTTTTTTCTTTGATGATTTTTTTGCAGATTATAATTTTATTTTTCAATAATTGCAATATAATCGTGGTTGTATTTTTGGAAGAAAATGCGATGCAGCCACGTCTGGAAGGACAGACTCTATTTTTGCTTCAACACAGATGGTTACATTGTTAAGATAATTAGCCATTTATGATTGGATTTATTATATTGATTTCAAATTTCAAATTTTTGAGTGGCCGACTATTCAAAGAAAATAAAGTATTAAAAAAACTTTATTTGACTGAAAATGTCTTTGCCTTAGATTTTTAGTCTAGAAAGATTCTCAATATTTTTTATTTTTATGTCTTTTTTCTATCCTTTTAAAATTATTCTTTGAACCAAATATGTTGTTATAACATTAAAAGATTTGGTCAGTTGGATGGGAGGACAAACATTTTGTTTCCTTAAATTCTTTATATGTTTCACTTCATAATAAGTGAGTTAATTATTTATCCAAAAAATAATAATAATAATAATAATAAGTGAGTTAATTATCGTTTTGGTCTCTCGACTATGACAAAAGTATTAAATTGGTTCTCGATTATCATTTTTGGCCGATTAAGTCCTCAAGTATTGATTTTGTGTCCAATATAGTCCTCCGTCAATTTGGGTGTTAAATGACCATCTCTTTTGAGGGCATAATAGCATTTCCAGTCTTTCCTACATTTCTACCCTTCACCAGCTTCGCAAACCTAACTTACACTCTTAGTCTACCCTTTCCTCAACCATTACTTCGGCAACGGCAACTTCCCCACAGACTTCGCCTTCTTCGACGACGTCAACAAGCCTCTCAACAATTACTTCAACGGCAAAACCTACTCCAACGTCTTCAACGCCAACTACGACACGGCGGTTGCGGCCTTGTCGCGCGAGGGCCACGGCAAGATGACCATCACGGTGGGAGAGATTGGGTGGTCGCGCCCATCGACGGAAACGAGTACGCCAACGCCTCCCTGGCCGCCAGATTCTACAACGGCTTCACCAAACACAATGCATCCAAGAAAGGCACCCATGTCTGTCCCGGCAGTGACACTGAGGTGTACATATTCGGGTTGTTCGACAAGGATCAGAAGAGCATTCTTCCTGGGACTTCGAGCGCCACTGGGAATTCTTGGCTACGACAGACAACCCAAGTTCAAGTTGGACCTTTCCGGCAGAAAGGGGGAGATTCTAACAAGCGTGCCGGAGATTGAATACCTGCCTAAGAAATGGTGCACCCTGAAATCCAACGTCAAACTCACCAATCTAAAAACCACCACCGCCTACGCCTGCGACTACGCCGAATGCACCGCAACAAGTAATGGATCGTTGTGCCACTTCCTCCCCGAAACCGACAAACTTTCGTACTATTTCAATGCCTACTTCAAGACCCAAAACCAAGCGGCTGGGAGTTGGAAGTTGGGGAGTTTGGGAGAGTAAGAGTGTAAGTTAGGTTTGTGCAGCTGGTGAAGGGTAGAAATGCGAGAAAGACTGAAAGTACTATTATGCCCTCAAAGGAGACGGTCATTTAATACCCAAACTAATGGAGGACCATATTGGACACAAAATCAATACTTGAGGACTTAATCGGCCAAAAATGATAGTCGATGATCAATTTGATATTTTCTCTATAGTCGAGGGACCAAAACGGTAATTAACTCATAATAAGTTGATCAAATTAAATTCTCTCTCCATCTCATTTTATGTGTCGGGTTCGATTAACGATGTTTGGCTGAAGTTATTTACAATTTAATTTTTCATAATATTAAGTTTAGAAGTAGTATGTTTATATATTTAGAAACTAGATTAAAAGTACTATCGAACGCACCAAAAAAATTATTTAAAAAAAAAAAGACTAATAGAAATAAGCAAAGAAAAAAATAGTTAATTTAACCAACAAATAGTAAGTAGAACATATAAAATGTGACAGAGAATATATTTTATTTATTTATGCCATGTACTTTCAGAAACAACTACTAACCCCAGTGGCTAGAGTTCTCAAAATCTATTAATATGCGTTTCCACAGGGGCGGACCCAGTGTGGGGGCAGTGGGCGCAGCTACCCCCACTTCCCCCACCCCACCCCTTTATATATATGTATGTATATGTATACATATATAGCATGAAATATTATATAAAATTTATATTTATGTAAAAAACATTAATAGTTTGAGTAGCTTAGTTGGTTGAACTCAAAATTTTATGTTATAAAAGCCTTATGTCATGGATTCAAATCTCATTAGCAACACTTTTAATTATCTTCTCTCTTTCATTTCTTCACAAGATAAATTAAATATTTTTAGTCTACTTTTTATTATTCATTTAATTAACAAATTAAATGCTCTTTTAGTCTAGTTTTTGTAAATCATTTAATTAATGTAGTATACATGTTTATAATATACTTTATTGTATTCAAATTAATTTAGAAAAATCGATCTACAAAGTTGAACTCAAAATTTTATGTTATAAAAGCCTTATGTCATGGATTCAAATCTCATTAGCAACACTTTTAATTATCTTCTCTCTTTCATTTCTTCACAAGATAAATTAAATATTTTTAGTCTACTTTTTATTATTCATTTAATTAACAAATTAAATGCTCTTTTAGTCTAGTTTTTGTAAATCATTTAATTAATGTAGTATACATGTTTATAATATACTTTATTGTATTCAAATTAATTTAGAAAAATCGATCTAACTAATAGAAATTAAAATTTAAAAGTATTTATGAATATATTGTTAATCAAATTATTTTATCTAATTGATTATGTTTCATATTTTCTCATAAATATATTGTAATTTATAATGTATTTTGTATTTTAAACTTATTATGATTATTTGATATTTTGTCATTGACATTTCTAACGTCATTTAATATTCGCCCCACTCAAATGATTTTTTGAATCCGCCATTGCGTTTCCATGCCAACATATTCAATCTAAGTTTTAAATTTTATAAGAACTGATAACAAGAGTTATAATAGATGTCCCTACAACTTTTACTTTATTTTTATTCTCATCGACGTTGTGATATGCTATTAACAAATCAATGAGTGAATGCCAAATTGAGCTTATCAATCGATTTTGACTGATTTAATTAAGTTTAACTTATTTGACTAGTTAATAAGTTACTTTTTGGTAAAATAACTTATTTGGCAATAAACCAAAATATGAAAAATTAAGACATCCCTAATAGAGATTTTAGCTCAGTTTTTGAGAAGGTTTGATCCAAGATAAAAAATAAGTGTGTTGGAAAGAGAAAATTTGAGTTATTGTAGGAGTGTTCCTTTTTTGTCACCTAAAGTGGGTCCTCACAAACTAGAATTAAAAAAAAAAAAAAAAAAAAAAAAAAAAAAAAAAAAAAAAAAACATACAAATGTAATTGGTGAGCACATAAGACCACAATAGCAGCCTCGGCGAGAGATCGGCAGAAGACCTCGGTGAACACCTCGACAGCCGCCTCGGCGGATGACCTCGGGACCTCGGCGCGAGGCCTCGGGACACCTCGGCAGGAGGTCGGTAGAAGACCTCAACAGGACCTCGCCGCGAGGCCCTCGACAGGAGGTCGGCAGCTGACCTCGGTCGCGTCGCCTGGTCTCCGGACCGGGCGTGGTCAAAGCAGGGGAAAACTGTCCCCCCGAGTTAGGCGGGCAGTTAGGAGGCCCATGGCTTGTATAAAAGGCCCTTCCTTTGTCCAATTGAGACGCGTTCACTGCTTTCATTATTAGGAGGCCCATGGCTTGTATAAAAGGCCCTTCCTTTGTCCAATTGAGACACGTTCACTACTTTCATTACTATTTGTCCTAATCAAGCCTTGTAATAGCTTATTAGCGATATCTAATACAATATACGGTCCCGCAACCTCACAACGCCATCATTTTGTCCTTTTACTACCTACGTTCTTAACCGGGTTCACTCCGGGTAATTAAATCCATCACCGAACCAAACTATAATGTTAAACCGAATGAATATCTTTTTTTTAATATCAAAATCGAAAAAACTGAATCGAATCCCGAAACACTCACCCCAGGTGAAACTTTATCGTTAGGCATCCAATTATGGAAACTAAATTCGTAGCGTCGCGACAGATCCAAATATTGCCGGATTAAAGCAAGAGAAATAAACCAAGTGACTTGTGGTCCACTGATATCTGATTGTAAAGAAAAATAGCAACAACCGGCCAGAGTGATGGGAATCAGAAAAAGCAATACGGCAACCGAGTGACACTGACGTAATATTGTTTAGCTCATCCCACACTTTAAGGTAAAGTATGAAATCACCAAATTCACACTATGATTAGGAATTTGAAGACTACTTACTCAATCCTCTATGAGAGTGTAGCCTAAATTCTGTTTAGACTTACAATTCACCTGACAGTTTATTTTTTTAAAAAAATAATTTTGAAGTGTTTTTTTTTTAACCAAAGTTTTCACCGTAGACACAATCACTAATCTCCTCCTTGCTACACCTCCTTTGGATAAGACAATTGGTTTAAAAAATTTAAAACTACTCTATACCCAAAACCAAAGATCGAACCCTTACCTTTAGTTAAAAGATGAATGAATCTCTTTCACAAAACCGCACCCCTAGGTTAAAAATAAAAATAAAAATAAAAATAATAGTAATAATAATAATAATAATAATAATAATAATAATAATAATAATAATAAATTGAAGTGTTATGTCATCTTGCAAGACTACCAATTCCAAGAATATAGTTTTAATCAAAACTAAACATTAACACTATAGTCGGAAGACTCAATTTTACTTTCTCCGTGAAATAGGAAACTAGTATTGAAGCTTTGAATTTGCATCAACCATTCCACAATATAGGCAAGCATTGGACAAGACGAGTCCTCTCAAAACCAGTTTAACAGGAAATCTTTTAATGCAATATATCCACAATTGACCGAGGAATGGAATCAAAATAAGCAATTAAAAGTGTCACATTTTGAAATAAACTAAGAGAGTTTGTGCCCTAATCAATAAGTAAATAGCATGTAAGCAAGTATGTGATGTCACCAAATCTAAAATCTTGTTGATCACAATCAATTCAATCACCAAAGGCATACAAGAAGTACATAAAAAGCACTTGGCAGAAACCGTGCAAATGTCACAAGTATTAAGATGCAAGAAGCAAGCAGCAATATAACAGCAGTAATGTCCGCTTCCAGGTTCTGCCAATGCT